AACACTAAGGAAGCAAGGTTGTAATGGTAACGGTAATTTTGACATTTGCAATTGAGAATTTGACAAATGTTAATAAAATAAAGTTTTTAAAATTTCATGTGGTTAGACGCACGGGAACAGCTAGTATTCAATAATAATACTTACGTTTATCAATACATAATATTGTCTATGACTTTAGCTTTATTTGTACAAATAAATAACGACGTTGTTACTATATAAATAATATTTACGAAGAATATTAAGTTAAATATAACAATATATACTTTGGCAAATATGAGAAGTAAATATTTGCATGCATTTGAATAAACTATGTCTATATTTTTGTACTCGAGTGTACACTCAAGCGTATACCAATATTGTAATGTTATGACTTCGCCCGTGTTAAGTTGAAGAAGACAATAGATATAGTCTATGTTACTCACTGAAAACGTAGCTTTTTAAAGGTGAAAGAATTTTTGAAATCGGTCCAGTAGTTTTTAAGTTATTTCAATATATACAAAAATAAAAAATTTTCCTCTTTATATTAGTATAGACGGACAGATACAAATACTACGGGATTTAAAAATTCTTTTGCCATTAAAAGTCAACATTATTGCCTAGAAACATAGCATATTTATTACTAGGCTTTTTTATTAATTCCACGTTGATATCGTCGCGGGCAGAAGTGTCTACTGTCTAGTAAATAATCTCTTAATGTTGCAACAGGTTTTTGTCCTCCACATAACTCTATCATACGTCATCTCAGTCATCACTTTCTAGGTCTACCTTTACCCGTGTACCACAATCGTAACTAACGTTCTCCTTGTAACACGCAATCCCCCCTTAAAACATGCCCCCTTGCTAACCTTTTACTCCTTACCTTCTCTACCACTGGGGCTACTCTCCAACATCCTCATTAAACAATATTTTAATGTACTTTTGAGTTTGCAGTACTTATTGTTTTAAAGAGCTTTTGTTGCTTAAGAGTACAGAAGATTAAATTATCTCTCAGGGTAGAAACTTATTAAATAACAAACACAAGCAAACATTATGCACGTTATTAACGACCGTATTACACACACGGGTACTTTTACGATGACGCGTCTAGTGCTGTGCCTTAGTCGATAAAATATGTCGATAAATTTACACCGCACTAAATTATTCCTCCGACGTTTACGTCGTAAATAAACCGTCGGATTGTAAATTAAAATGTCAACTTTATGAATTAAGTAGAGCCTAGAGAGTTATTAATGTCGGTATATGGGAAATGAATTTTCGAAGTTTACAACCCTATGTTCTATGTTGGGATCGAGTAAAGCGATTGGAATTTGTAATGTGATGTACCGTTGGTTTGTGAGAAAAGTGCTAATACAAAATTTGTATGCGAAATTGCTTGCAAGTTTAAGCTACAACGGAATGCGAATTTTGTAAATTTAGGTGTATTACTTGATACAAAAGGTATTTTTGAGTAAATTGTTCTGCATTACATGTTGAGAATTACAAAATGTTTATATTCTAAACTACATATTCAAATTTAAAACAGTCTTTTTAAAATACTTACCTCCCTGCCAGTCTTCTTAAGTTTTTCCACAGATTTATAAAAGCCGTCATATCTAAATTTACTGCAATTATTTCTGACTTTCTTATTTTTGTAGCTTATTTGTATAAACGACAGATATAAAGGAATACGCAGGGGAGATGATAATGATGACAGATATCAAAATATCGATACTTTTTGGCACATCACTGTTTGACATGTGACAAAGTATAGCGCCTACACGGATTCCTATCGCTCTGTCATACCCCCGATAACCTTGGAGTCGTGACCCGAATACTATAGACTAGACGAAATGACCTTAGTACACTGATGTACGAAAGTACAGCGAAACCGAAACCAAGTGTGTTTGACGAAACGAATACGAAATATGACATAATGGTATTTAGGTTTCTGTCAATATATTGTTGCGAAACAAAAGCTTATCAGAGCTTTTGTATAGTTCCGCAAGGATATTGTGGCATCTTTTTGAGATTGACAGGATAGCGCCTCTAAACATTTAGGGTTACCAGCAAAGTGATATGTCCACGCTATCTTTCTCCCGCGACTCTGTCAACGTGAAATTAAAAAAAAAAACTGAGTAGCCTATGTGTTCTTCCAAACTATCCTCTATGCTAAACAAAATTTCTTGGAAATCCGTTCAGCCGTTTAGGCTACAAACTCTAACAAACATCCATCCATCTAAATTTTCGCATTTATAATATTTTTAATAATATTATATTATAATAATCTTTCCTTTTGAAAACGAAAACGCAAATAGTAAAGGAAGTACCTTACAATATAATTAGGAAATGCCTAAGACTTCTTTGTCGGTTTAAAGACAATATAGTTAAAGAATCTTTTTAGCAAACTTTTAGCACTCTCTTGAGACAGTTAGGGAAGGAGTAGACTTAACATAATAGAAATTGTATTACTTTCGTTTCGCGTACGAGACGTGTGTTAGAGTATCACTAATTTGCCTATTCGTTAGTGTTTTGTTTAATTATAGTTCCGTTGTATTTGCACGTGTGCTCGGGTCCTATGACTATGTGGGTAGTTTGTCACATTGTCTCCTTGAACCATCGCAGCTATTGTAGATTTCTATAACCTTTGCGTATCTGATTTACGATGCATTGTTCGAAATATTTTTTATACCTTTATTACTAACGAAATATTTGTATAACGGTTAAGTTTCTAATTGTATAAAATTGCTTTGGTGTTATCTGTGATAAATTTCATTAAAAAAAACATACAGACGAATTGAGTACCTCCTTCTTTTGGGAAGTCGGTACAAAAATCGTTGAGCCGTTCTAAAGATTTGAAGTAATAACATCCATCCATTTCGCATTATAATATTAATAAAATTTTAGACAAACTGAATAAGACACTTTTTCTGTACAGTCGCGCAGTAAATACAATAAAATCATTTACATAAACACTTTTGTAATTAAATGTACATGACATTTGAGATGCTAACAGAGGTTATATGTCACATTCCTAAGTAACTGACCTTTCCTCAATAACTGATACTGATGACTTGACATCAATGTAAACATATAGTTGCCAAATAAAATACGTTTGACTGTGATTCGGTCAAGGAATTTCAATATTATCTGGTCTTATAATCTAGTGAGGATTCCAAAAAGGTTTTATTTTAATGCAGTTAATACTGAGATGTTTAGCTTTCGCGATTCCGTTCTCAATTAAAAAAAAAAAAACAAGCAAGTATATGTTCTTCCAGCCTATCCTCTACATCAGTATTTCTCAAAGTTTGTGATAACGTTGGGGGCGTTTGAAACCTAGAGGAGGGCGTTCTAGGGCTCTAGAAAAATGGGAGGAGTTGATGTGGGTTAGGGGAGCGATGTATAATTTGTAATTTCATTTTTTTGTTAAAATTTTCGGCTCAATTTTACAGTTTTAAGATATTTAATTATAAGTGGGAAGGGGATTAAATTCTGTAACTGTGCATCAACTTGGTCGTAATAAATTGTTACAAGTTACCTAATACAATATTGACCTGTCGACGCTCGTAGCTTCATAGATCCTAACCGTACTTCTAAAATTGGTATCTCTACTTGTTTGGTATGGTATACCGTAGGCGCCCCAGGGTATCTTACCATCAGAGCAATCTGGTTTGCATGTTACTTCTAGTTTTAGATGTTAGATTCACTTTTCAAGGCAATAAACCAGTTGGAAAATCATTTGCTGACACCGACTATCTTTTACTTTTTGTTTTCGAACTCTTTGTGTAGTTGAACATTTTCTAAATGTATTTTGAATAGCAAAAGAACAACACTATAAAATCTTATTATACAGTGTACCGCTAATAAAAGATTCTGTAAAACCCTTTACTAATTACTTAATATTGTAAATGCCAAAGTTTAGATGAAAGGATGTATGGTTGTTTGTTAGAGTTTGTAGCTTAAACGTATGAACGAATCTCGTTGAAATTTTACATAGATGTAGAGTATAGTCGGGAGGAAGACATAGGTTAGGCTTGCTTTGTTTTTTTTTTGTAATTCCGCGCGTGCGTAGTCGAGCAAAAGGCATTCTTCTCATAAATTAAATGGAATTATTCAATAATTGAAAACAACGCCATCTAGTGCATATTAAGTTAAAACTAAACATTTCTGGCAAACTATAATTAAATAATCAATTGCAATTATATTTCAATTAGCTTTCGCCTGCTACTCCGTCCACGTGGATTAAAAAAAAAAACAAAACTGAGTAGCCTATGTGTTCTTCCAGACTATCCTCTACGTCTATGCCAAATTTCATCGAGATCCGTTCAGCCGTTTAGGTGGCAAAATCTAACAAACGTCTGTCCATCCATCTAAACTTTCGCATTTATAATATTAGTAAGATGTTTTTTTAGCAGTAAATATGTCATAGTAATACAGCCTTCTCTATTTCCTGTCTAATACTTAAATATGTTAAAATTAGAACTTAAGTGAAATGTCAAGTGACCCTTCTATGTTAAAGCGAAGTGTCATCGAGCAGTTCTTTGCTCAGCCTCTTGTTTGAAGAAGGTTTGAGACGCGGCATTGAGAGTAAATTCCGGATGTCTAAAATCTTTTACAATATACTGTTATGTACTTAAATATTAATAAAATCAATAAAAAGCACTTTTTTAAAGGTTTGTGGACCTCTTATTTTTTTGTTGAAGTAGAAATCTAATAATTAAAAACCGAGAGTAGAGATAATCTACCTAATATCATAAGTGCGAAAGTTTAGATGGATGGATGTTTGTTAGAGTTTGTAGCCTAAACGGTTGAACGGATTTCGATGAAATTTGGTATAGATGTGGAGGATAGTCTGGAAGAACACATAGGCTAAGTTTTGTTTTTTTTATTCCACGCGGACGGAGTCGTGGGCGAAAGCTAGAAATTATATATATTAAGATTTATTACACCTCATGTTTATTTTAAACTATACCTACTTAAGGAAATATTATTAATGTTAATTAAATAAAATTGTAAATTCATACCTTATAACAGGACAGGGCCAGTAACCTAAAACAAAAAGAAATCATGTTTTACAAAAATGTATTTTATTATCTAAACGTAAAGGCTATAATCGCATGAATGTTCAATAAAGGCTACTAGTCACGGAGTTTGTTAACCCTTTCAATACTATCTTCATATGTTTCATTTTTAACAACTTTATGAAGTGACGTCTTGCTTGGATGGCCACCCCTATGCGAAAATATACGAAATTAAACAATAATGAACCTTAAGCCGTTACAAATAAAGTTCAAAATCCAATGTATTGTACATCTGTCATGTTTGTAATGAATGTTATTGTATATTAAACACTATGCTATATGGAATAAGGTCGTTATTGTTTTGTGTTGTTGAAAGTAATCGTTCCAGAACGAATTGCAATATTTTTGCTTTGGGTGATATTTTACGGGGAAATTATGCGTGAGGGAGTGTACGTATGGAATTACATGTAATTTTTATAAGGCGAAACGAGCGATCCGCGGAATTCGCGTATTGCTGAGCTTATCCAATTTATTATTTTTACACTTTTTGCCGCGACTGTACATTGAGGAGTACAATGCGCTTCACCGTGTCAGTGCACTATTGGTTAGTGTATTATAACTTTTTGCCCGACTGACAGGTGTTCGAGTATATTTATTTGAAATGTGACTTCTTGAAGCTTAAATAACTTAAATAAGTATTTTGATGGATTTTGTGAAAGAGGATCTGCTTAAGAAAGGAGTGGATTCAGATATGACGGCTGATAGATGTATGGAGCAGCACATACTGTGCCCCTCCGTAAGGGATAAGGGCAAGTTGATCATATACCATACTTTACATTCAATACGTAACTAACACTGAAGAAACTTGGAAAGGTAATGAGTCCAAAAGTGTCAAATTAGTACCCAATAATTGACAAAGTTTCAAAGTGATAATATCTAGTTCGATTCGTAATTTACACTGGAGACTTGGAAGGCTAAAAAGTATCGACAATATGTAGCGATTTTGTGACCATTCTAAGTGACAATATTATAAGAATATAACACTAGCTAAAAGCTAGCTTTTATTCGCGACTTTGTGTACGGAAATAAATAAATGTAAGAATAAACATAGCCTATGTCACTCAGTAATAATGTACTTTTTAAACAGGAAACGAATTTTTCGAATCGCTCCAGTAATTTTTAAATTTATACATAACATGCAAAAAACAATATTATGTACATACTATTAGTATAGGAAAGTTATTTTAAGTTTATTGAACTTTTTTTTCTTAGTTAAAATCACGATTCTTATTATTATGTGGGCTCAGTCGTTTCCCTTAAATGGTTACTCCGTTCGGATATCCTGCGCGTGTACTGCTCATATTAATTACCTTATTGGTGGTTTTTGTACTGCATTTACTGCGATTTAATTAAATGAAGAATTATTAGTCTGTGTCGTAGACTTTTATAGATATATACTGGCCGTTTTAATCAATTGTTTTTTTTTTAAATTACTTCTTTACGGACAGTTCTAGTCAATATTGTCCTTTATAAATCAGGACTTATTTACTTGTACGAAAAATTATAAGAGCGTGTGTACCTTTGACTAAACTATCGCACAACTATTTAGTCGCTTGGATTGCTGTAAGTTTATATGGAGAGGCACACAACTCAAGTTTTAGTTGTGCAAGACATTTGAATTGGCTGCGAAATAGTCGACAATCGCACAACAGTTGTGCGACAGTTTAGTCAATGTTGTGCGCCAGCTCTTAGGTATAAAATAGTTATTTTAAACCAGTTGAGTTTTAAAATATTTATACCGCTCTGAACCTTGAACTTTACTCCGCAAACAAATATAACAAACACACCAAAGATTGTATCTTGTAAGTACTAAAATTGCTTTGTAGTTAGTGTACGTTCAACCCTTACGTATCATAAAACAAAACTCAAATTGAATTATTAACCTAATACACTTAAAGATAAAGTCCAATTTCACATAAATAGTAAACAGAGATTCACGGATTTAGAGTCAATATCTATACTAATATAATAAAGCGTAAACACACACTTCTTTGTTGCCTAAGATGTCAGCAATCACAGTATATTTTCCAATAACTCTTTTTTTTAATAAAAAAGCTCTACACTTAAGTCACGCTTTAGGCTATATATTTTCACGCTATTAAACTTAGTTGGTAAATAACTTGGATAAAAATCCTAATGTGTGAGAGACCATACGGTGCTGCCAACATCAAGAAAGCAAGATTGCCATGGATTGTCATCATGTCATGTCATTTTGACATTTGCTATTGATAATTTGACAAATGTAAACAATAAAATAACATTTTCATAATTAAATGCGGATGACGCCGCATGGGAATAGCTAGTACATTGATATTTCCAAGTATCTAATTCTACAGTAAAACGGAACGCAAATCCTGGCCGCCATAAAGATTTCCTACCCACGTAAAGACGGACGTACACGGAAATTTATAATAGGCAAGTGATTTCCTTTCAAACGATCAAGCGTTCTTCACAACGCTATATTTAAGTGTCACCTACAATAAAACCTTTTTTGCTTTAAATACCTTCAACGCATACTTAATTTAATTCTAGCTTTATCGCTACTGGTATCATTTCATCATCATCTCCCCTGCCTTATCCTACTCCTGTAGGGTCGGCGCACTGAGTTTTCGTCCTCCAAAGCACTCTATCATCTGTCATCTCAGTCATCACTCCCTTCTTGTTCATGTCACCGTTCACGCAATCCATCCATCACTTTCTATGTCTACCTCTACCGGTGTACCTCCACATTCATAACTAACGTCCGTCTTGTTACATGCGATTCATTCCTTCTCATAACATGCCCATACCACTCTAACCTTTTACTCCTTATTTTCTCAACCACTGGAGCTACTCTCAAACTTCCTCTCATATACTTACATACTTCTAATAGTTACAGGTATCATTTCTAGTCTTAAATAATCTAAGAATATAATAGTGTTTTTGTGGTATTCTCTTCTTTCTTATTATAATTTCCCCCTGAAGGTTCTGTTTTTATTGTTAATGTGTGTGATTTTATAAAAAAAAGAAATAGTTAAGTAAATTAAAAATTTAGTCATACTAATAAGAAATGACACATAATTTCTTATAAAAAGTTTTCAAACAAAAGGCATCACAAATGTTTAAAGTGGGACATAAAATGGTCCCCTGCGGCACACCTTTGACTTACCAAGCGAGCATAAACACGAAACGCAAACTTTTACCCAACAAACAGCGGAACTAAACTTTATGTAAGAATATTTGAATAACGAGGTAACCTTCTAAAGGTGGTTGAAGGTGCTAAACGAGTTCAACAGCCTCAAACGCTTGTGTTAACGATGCGAGGTGAGAAATTTGTTAAGATGTGTAACATTTGTTTACTTACAGATTAACCTAAATCATTGTCGAATACTTATATAAAATAACCCCTCATTATTATAAAAAAGCAATAGAAAAAGTCGCCTTAGACCAGTCGCACACCTCTGACTAAAAGCACATGCGATTGTCAACTGTTTAGTTGCACAACTAAAAATCGAGTAGTGTACCTTCACAAGCTCATAGGAATCAAAGCGGGATTTAAATATGTATTTTTAGAATATCTTGGGACGGGCTTGTTTTTTAATTTAGCATATTACACTGTCTTAGAACCTATACATTAATTATTCAAGTTATATTCTCGTACAAGAAACAATCTTTGTTTTTGTAATAGCAACATGCAATCTTCAAGGATGCCTCGGGGCCTTAAAAAGAAATAATTACACAGCGAATTGATGGCTTGTAGTGTGCCACTCAGAAAATAATTTTCATTTGCATCAATTTGCATGCTTAGGCTCGTTATGAGAACTTGAACGTGGGTTTATTAAAGTCAACGCTTCAATGGTAACAAGTAAGTATTAAGTAATCACTCTTGTACGAGTTATGTGAAAAAATTGTTTAGATATCATGAATTTTGTTAGGATACGCTCCAATATATGTTACCAGTTATATTAAATAAATTTTAGATGAGTAAAGCCTAGATACATACGCTAGTAGCTGGCATACTTGATGCAACGACGAACATGCTAGTACCTGTTATGCAAGTAATTATCACTATATTAGATTTTGCGAAAGTTAGGGAGGTTGTCGAGGGGTACAAAACTTATCTTGTATCGTTAACATATTTCTGGCATTTATATACACATTACACCAGTAGCTAGCACGTGCCAGTAACTCATGTCAGCTACAATATTTTATTGGCATGAAAATTCCCGTCTTTGATATTCTCTTCTCTCTTCTCTTCTCTTCATATTCTCATTTTTATCTGTCCATTGTGAAGACACAATATCGTAAATCAACCAATTTAGCAATTAAAAAATATTCTAGATTATGCGTTTTATTTAGGTACAATAATATACCTAGATAATTGTTGTCTATACTAATATTTAGGGGAAAGATTTGTATTTTTTTATGTATTGAAATAACTCAAATACTATTGGAACGATTTCAAAAATTCTTTCACCAATAAAAATCTGCGTTATCAGAGAGTAACAGGCAATTTAAATATCACGCGGGCGAAGTCGTAGCAACAGCTAGTTTAATAAATTTTCTAGAAATTTCCATTATCAATTTTAATTTCCAATACCTGGAGATAGCTGTAAATTCATCAGTATGGAAGTCGGATCGTCGCTAGATGGCGCTGACTAAGGTGCGCACGCACATATTAATGAACACGTATTGTTCGTAATACTTCTCTTGCATTTTAATCGAGTGATAGCATATTTCTCGTTACTAAATTAATATCTTCCAATGATGTCAGCTCTCTTCGCCGTATTTAGTTGTGAAAAACGAAACTAAAATTTAAATTTAAATAGTACGTGCGTTAGACTTGTGAAGAAAGTAATTCATTCAATATTTACTTATGTTTTTTTTTATATCATAAGGTGGCAAACGAGCAAGCGGCCACCTGAATCCGCCAAAATGGCGAAGCGATCGCTGCCCATAGACATCCGCAATTGCAGATGCGTTGCCGAC